TGTGTGTGTGTGTGTGTGTATACTGTATATATATATATATGTTTTTTTTTGTTTTTTTTTAAGTAAAAGGCCTTTTAGTATCATTTTTAAAAAAATGTCCACCTTCAGCTCATGCTTCATGTGTCTTTTTGCTGTGAAATGTATAAAGGAAATATAAGAATAACTTTTATATTGTTAGTTTTATTTCAAGATGAACATTTACTGGACTGAAACAGCAAGGTTTACTTGATAATCCTATTTTCAATCTTTTTAAAATTATTATTCAGAAAAATGTTCAAATGTGAGTATCAAATATGATCCATCAGGCTTTTGAGGAGCGTTTATTTGTTCATCTCTCAATCATCACTGAATTGCATTGCATTGTATGTAGAGTGACATAGTCTGATATTTATATCATTTTATGTATGTAGGCTGCTATACTGTTATAAATATCTCATTTATTTAAATTACAAGCAGATTTTCATTTTACTTTTTGCCATATAAATATCAGCATCTGCACCAAAATACTTTTCTTTTTCTCTCAGTTTGGGCCTCTTAATAAAATTGAAGTAGTTTTTTCCTCCTCTCCATATTCACACTATATCATACTCTCTGAGCCATACATGGTCTGATGTATCAACAAAAATCAAAGAAGAAAATTTCTATCATTTCATTTGTCAGGCTTTACAGGGTCAATCAAGGTTAATGTTAATGTATAAAGATAATATTGTTAACTGTTAGTTGTGGGATCATTACACATTAATGTTAATTTTGCTAATTTAACTTGAAATGTTAAAAATGTATACGTATATCTAGAAACCAACATTAACCTAGATGAAAGTATAGTTCACTGATTTAATCACTATTGGTATATCATCAGTAAATATCATATTACAGTATTTAGCCAAATGGAAATAGAATAAAACGAGGTGAAATACATTTGTTATGGACTCTAAATATTAGATATTGTATTAAACAACATGATCATTCTTAGAGCTTTTAGGTCATTTCCTCTGTATAAAGAGTGTGATGTTGAGCGTGTCTCCACAGGGTTTGCCATTAGTGATTTTTCTATCATGTTTGATTCGGGTACCAGTGGATGTTTCCAAAATCTCCTTCAGCCGTTAAATACAGATGTACAACAGATGTGCTGGAAAAACTCAATGCTTTTCAGAGGAAAAAGACCGAAATATTCCATGCTTTGATCTTGGATTAGTATTACTAGCAAAATATTATCGAAATTATACTGAAAAGCAATAAAGAATTAATAATGCTACGAGATCATTTGAAAGTGTTTGAAGTGACTTTTGGCTTCTGCTGAAGGGTCACGTGAGATCGAAACATTTCTGTCCCATTTGGAAGATCGATCAGGCAAAAACCGGGCTTAAATATGATAATTTTGAGGGAAAGAGTGATGAGAAGTCTAGATGAACGCAGAATACTAACCAGACTGAGTGGTGAAGCGCATGATGGTACTGAAACACCCCAGAGTGATGAGGAATGAGCGGGTGGCCACCCGGCAACACTCTGTGTCCCTCGTGATGGAGAACTTAAAAACACAGACGCCAGCATCTGAAGGCATAAGAACACACTGGACATATGAATGCTGATTTACATAATGAAAGGATTAGGTCACACCTCAGTTACAATTCTGGAAGGAGATGTTCGAAAAATGTTCACGTAGCTCTTTTATGTCAAATTAAAGTGGATGGTGGTTTATAGTCAAGATCCAAACAGTACAAAAAAGCAGTTTATTAAACTCATGTGCTTTGTTCCAAGTCTTACAAGAGCTTGGTGTGACGATCCAAAATTGAATCGCTATTCACTACAAATCTTCCTTTCTGTTGCAACTCTCAAATCTCATTTGCACTTCCGCATATTCAAACTTAGCATGTCTTGTGATTCTTGTGGCAGCCAATGGTGTTTGGCGTCATTTAAAAAACAACTAAAAAAATGTTAAGAACTTTTATGCAGCAAGGACGGATTAAACTGATGAAAAGTGACTGTAAAGACATTTATCATTTTACAAAAGATTTCCGTTTCAAATAAATTGCTGTTCTCCCCCTTTCGGAATTGCATTGCAAATTGTGTTAACTTCACAACTAAAAATATGTCATCGATCCAAAATATTGCTTTATCCGGTGAAAGAGTCTGAATCAGGAGAAAAATCTGCACAGAAAATCAAGCACCGTTTGCAACAAAAACAGTCCAAAACAGTTCTAAGCAAATATGTGGATTCAGGTGGATTTTGATGTGAGAGACAACAGGAGATGGACTGGAGGAAGTGTTATTATGGATTTTGGCCAGAAACAATTAACGGTGCCTTAATGATGGATTTGTTTCTTACAAACACGCAGCTTTTCACTTCATAAGATGTTAACTGATGGACTGGAGTCGTGTGGATTACTTGTGGATTGTTGTGATGTTTTTATCAGCTGTTTGGACTCTCATTCTGACGGCACCCATTCACTGCAGAGCATCCATTGCTGAGACACTGATGCAGTGCTACATTTCTACAAATCTCTTCTGATAATTAGCACATTTCCCCCCCAAATTTTTTTAAATGAATAAGGACTATAATTGATTTCAAGCTTAGCAGCTTGAGGTCACTAAACGTTTTCAATAAAGAAAACAGAAGCATGAACATTTTGCTAAACATCTCCTTTTGTCCTCTACGGAAGAAAGTAAGTCATGTAGGTTTCAGATCAGTGGCTCAGCCATAAGTTGGCATCAGAAATGACTGCTTTGTGAGGCACATGGGATACAGAAAAACACCAGAGCGGTGCTATCTGATTTTGTGCACCAGGAGGCAGAAAGCGCTGGCGGCCAGGACCAGTGTACCATGTCAAAGAAAACAGAGTCGGGTGCAGGCGATGCTAGAGCTCAAGCAGCAGAACAGCCTCGCTGCTCACGGAGAACCAACAGCGGAGCCGTAAATCTGGCCATCTGTCAGTGCAGCCAGACCACACAATGAGACTCCAGAAAATGTGTGGCACACCTGAATAAAGAGTCTTCATTTGCCCTTCGACCAATAAACAAGACACTACAAAGAGCCAGTGGAGAAATGTGTATGGTATGGCGTTATTTACAGTGTGAATGCTTCCATGTGGTTCTTCACTGTCTTTACTCTTCATATCAGTCAGACAGGAGCACATATTGAACATGGACATTACATGATACTGACTAATGACTAATTAATTACAAAAAAGGAAAAAAATACTGACCAAAAGTGATCCATAGGAAAGGAAAATCACCAATGAGATCTCAGTTTATTCAGCTAATAGAATCAACTAAGTTTAAATGGAGACTTAAGTCTCTTGCTTCTCTCATGTTTCTCCGGTCACACTTTATTTTAATATGCACATATAAATATTAAATAAATATTAGATAGCCTATATTAAGTATGCTAACTCTATGTTTAGGGTTAGTGTTTGGTTTAATGTTAATTGCTTGTAATTATGCACAATTATTACGTATGTACTTATTATGTCTTCTCATAATTTCAGAAGCGATCTCAGCAATGTCTAAAAATAGGCCTAAATAAATGTCTAATAATAATAATAATATTAAACGTAAATCAATGACACTGTAAAACTCAATGACAATGTCAAAAAAATTTAAAATGTTTGCTTATATCTGCCAAAACACGTAAGTCTGCAATCAAAAGTCAGAGATTTCAATATTTAGCCTACTTCTGAATTATAGGCTATATAAATATTTCTCATACAATTCTTCCCAAACCATATTAACTGACTATTACAATAATTGTGTGCCTCTAGCCTATACAAAACACCTTTGACATGTAAAGTAATGTTGTTTACCGTCATTAATGCTGAGGGAGAAGTCGTCCATCTCTCTGTGGACTAGAAGTGTGAGCTCCTGAAGAGGTCTAGAAAGCGGCAGCTCTTGCTTCATGTCGCTCTCATTCAGAGAGACCAGAGTTACAGAGAAACTGCTCTGGAACTGATTGTCGCCCATGATTGAATCCAGCAGTCATTGTAGTCCGGTGAAGCTTGTATAAACCTTCTGACAGAGTTTGAACGAGTTCAGATGAGACGAGGGTCTGAAGAGGGCGGAGTTACATGACAGTCGCGTCTAGATTTATGACCAAAAACTACATTCGTTTCAGTATTTCAAACAAACTAATGAATATTACAGCACCCATATATATCTATATTGTTTGATACAATAATAGATAACTTTCATTTAAGTCAAGTAGGCTTATGGAAAATAGGAGTATTTTCAGTTTCATTTTCATTAATCTATTTATACTGGCATATAAATGGTGAGTGTGGAAGTCAAATCATTATTTTATATCATTGCTAGAGCATGTACCTACAGTGTTCTGGACTGCGTGAGTAGCCTAATAATCTCGAAATGTTTCGAAAATGGTCTTTTTGTGTTTTTAGCTTAATCACACAAATTATTTTCATTTTTTTCTTAATGTCTTTAAAGCAATATGCAAATGTGTATTCCGTTATTATGCCTTAAATTATTTTCAAAAATAAAATATAAAATAAAAATAAGTAATTGTAGCCTACTCGTACTGTCACTAACACTAATTATGTGATTGTAACAACAACAACAAAAATCACTGTTCGCTTGGGTAGGTACAACAAGGAATCTATTATTGTATTATTGTAATTCAGTAAAAACCCGTCTAAGAGTGCTCATATTCATGGTTATGAATGACTGCAATGTTTAAATGGTAAGATTAAACAATCTTCAGGTAAGGTTTGTTTGAGCAACATTTCTTTACTACAGGATCCACAATCATGTTGTAATGTGAATGAACAGCGCCATCTAGTAGCTATGCAACAAATAAGAAAACTGGATATTGCAAAAATATTGCAGTTTTTGCTATTATCTCATTGATAATTTTGAATTGAGTAATTTACAGTGGAAGCAAATGTTTAATTACAGAGAACATGATTAAGTCTTCATTTTTGTCGACAAACTTTTTCATAGATTACACAGGACTAAAATTAAAGGGGTCATATGATGCGATTTCAATTTTTCCTTTCTCTTTGGAGTGTTACAAGCTCTTGGTGCATAAAGAAGATCTGTAAAGTTGCAAAGACTAAAATCTCAAAATTTTATAAAAGTTACCCACCCAGCACCAGACGTCATTTGGACGTTGTTTTTTGGGCTAAATCAAGTCGGCCCGTCATGGACTTCTTTTAGCCCAAAAAGCGACGTTGAAAATTGGTCTTTGTTTATTCTCGCTGTAGTTTTGTTGACGCTGCCGCCATGTCATGAAGACGCTGTGTGTTTCGTTGTGAAAGCGAAACTACTTTGTTTGGCCTTCCATAAGAGGACGATATCCGCTTCGTCATGCCTAGAGCCTCTGCTCACTCTAGCCGCCGTGTGTGACGCTCTGTGAAGCATTTTATGGAAGACTGTTTCCTGAACCTGCAGAGTAGCCTACAAATGCCGGCTGTTATGACTCACGTAAGTAAGTTTTTTATATTTAAAGAATTTGCCACTGACGATTCAAACGCGAGTTTTGAGCAGTGTAGAGTAGCACTTGTTGTTTGTCATTTCTCCAATCACAAATGCAGACATGGTTTTGTGTTTACGCAGCGCGATGCGCAATACAACGCCTAAAAACACAGTATAAGTCATTATAATCAGTAGTTATGATCCCACTGGATGCAACAAATGCCTCGTTTGTAATGGGTTTTATTGGTTTTGTCTCGTCGCTCCAGGACACAGGGCATCACAGTATGGTGAGGGGTGTAACATTTCCGTCACAAGCTTGAGGAATTCGGCCAATCACAACGCACTGGATAGCTGGCCAATCACAGCACACTTCGCTTTTCAGACTGATGAGCTTTGTAAAAATCGACGCGTTTCAGAAAGGTGGGGCATAGAGGAGAAGCAATAATGTACAGTATGTGGAAAATAATGTGTTTTTTTTTTTTTACCTTAAACCGCATAAACACATTTCATTACACCAAATACACAAAATAATGTTCTTTTTAGCAACGTCATATGACCCCTTTAAACAAGTGAAGGCAACATCACAGGCAGGTCAGGCTTTACTTATTCATTGACTTCACACCCCACACTAGAAAATAGTGTTCACTCAGGTTACTTAATCACGTTTTTTATTTACTTGTATTTTCATTTTCAAAATGTGATTCCACAGCTTTGGGCTATAGCTGTACATTTGTATGCACAATAAGAAAAGTTTACATTTTATATTTATTGTAATTCATGGGGTTTATTATTTGATAATTACACAATTAGATGTACATTTCAGACACCTTCATTTCATTAAAACTTATAGGTTAATCGAGTGACTTCAGCCTGCATAACCAGTGTTGGGGGTAACGCATTACAAGTAACGCGAGTTACGTAATCAGATTACTTTTTTAAGTAACTAGTAAAGTGACACATTACTTTTTAATTTACAAGAAAATATCTGAGTTACTTTTTCAAAAAAGTAACGCCAGTTACTTTGTTTTCCCATTTATTGACTGACAGCTCTCCTGTCCCCATAATGGGATAAAAAGTAACGCAAAAGTAATGTAACGCATTACTTTCCATAAGAAGTAACTAAGTACTGTAATTAGTTACTTTTTTAGGGAGTAAAGCAATAATGTAATGCATTACTTTTAAAAGTAACTTTCCCCAACACTGTGCGTAACTGCACTTTATCAAACACTGGTTAAACTGGTCCCAGTGCTGCAAGACTCGCCACTTTCCCAACACTGACTGCTGCTCAAATCTGATCCTTTCCATGTGTGTTTAATGGTAAGTGAACATTGATTGTCAAGATGAAACACACCAACACATTAACTTAAAAACAAAACTCACAAACGTGTGGAATCTTAGTAAATAGGCTAACACTGTTCTTTCACCTGATTATCGTATCGGACTTCACTAACACTATTGAAACAACTTCACTGCTCATATTTTTGTTGTATGGGCGATACAGATCAGGGTTGTTAAAAACTTTTACTAGTTTTTATTTTTATTTTTATTTTTAAATAAATGGTGGAATAATTGATTGAACAGAATTTATTGGTGGAATAAATGATCGGAAGACAAGAGAATCTAACAACAACAAAACTTACAGCTTGTTTTACTTTTAATACATAATGGCAAGTTTTCACTTTGCATATAAAGTTATAACTTTCAGAAGGAATTAAACTGAAATAAAATGTAAAACGCATTTGCTTGCATGTGTGAGCTTGCGCTTTCAGATTCCTTGAATCTTCCCCCTAAAAGCGATGTAATAAAGTTTCCATCGCTGCTGATTTACAAGCATTTGTATCGGAAGCAGAATCGTACTCAAAAAAATAAATAATTCCCAGCTCTGTGCCTCACCGTCAGTTCAAGAATAATTTATGCCATTTTATATTATTTATTTGAAAGAATTAAAAGAGCAAAGAGCAGTTTCATGCATATCCTTGCACTGAACGAGGCTGATGTTTAGAAAGTCATTAGAACTAAGTAGCCTAATGCAATACATTTTACAGAGAGTAATGAGTACAATAATCTAATTACACTGTTGAATATGTAATCAGCTAGTAGTTTAGATTATTTTACCCAACACTGGCCCCTGCTAACTTGTATCTAAATAGGCTATGTTTCAGTTTAAAAGTAAATCCACATTGTTCTTAAGAGGAACATCTTTCCCATATTACCATACTTATTTTTTTTCTTGCAGAGTAGCCTGTATATATAGGCTGCATAAAATATCCCTACTCAATGAATTCAGGCTAATAGGATAAAAGCTCCTTTGTTTTATCTACTACTTCGGAAAATCATTCTATTCTATTCTATTCTGTATCTTCCAACCTGTGGCCTGGTGTAGCGCTGTACCCGCTGTGATGTCCAAACGCTTTGCGAATCGGTTCGTATAAAACATTAAAAAGAACAGGTTCAAAAGAACGACTCGTTTGCGAATCGGTTCGAATGAATCCTTAAAAAAAAAAGAACCTGTTCAAAAGAACGACTCGTTTGCGAATCGGTTCGTATGAAACATTAAAAAGAACAGGTTCAAAAGAACGACTCGTTTGCGAATCGGTTCGAATGAATCCTTAAAAAAAAAAGAACCTGTTCAAAAGAACGACTCGTTTGCGAATCGGTTCGTATGAAACATTAAAAAGAACAGGTTCAAAAGAACGACTCGTTTGCGAATCGGTTCGAATGAATCCTTAAAAAAAAAAGAACCTGTTCAAAAGAACGACTCGTTTACGAATCGGTTCGTATGAAACATTAAAAAGAACAGGTTCAAAAGAACGACTCGTTTGCGAATCGGTTCGAATGAATCCTTAAAAAAAAAAGAACCTGTTCAACGGACATGACTGCTCGTAACATCGATGGCGCGCGATGTCTGTTTGAGAAATGTCGTCGGTCCCATAGAGACTTCACGCCGCCTCTCGGTTCGGCAGAACCTCTCTCGGTAAAGCCAAACCCGTTCACTAGATCTCACATACAACCGAATGCAAACGATGTCTGTCCTGGAGTCCTAATGAAATGAAGAGGACAACGGGTTTTATACGCGACAGAAGAGTGTGCTGTCTACAAGGTATGTTTTTTTTTTAATATACTCATCGTTCACAATAAAGTGATTTAAGCCTTTTATTATATGATTCCATTTCAATGGTGAAGACAGTACGGACTTGCTTTTTGACAGCCTTACAGATAAATATCGCGTATTAATGCCGCCCAGTGTGTTATTTCATAGATTTCATGATGTGTATTTCGATTCGGAGTCAGTCCTATTTCAGCACTAAGGCGCTGTCCACTGCACGGGCACCAAAGCATCAATGAATGAACATCTACTGATCCGTAAACCTGCTGTCATATTAACAATACATGCTTGATAGACGCTTTCAAATGTTAGGCACACTGGAGTATGCCAGTACTCAGTGCAGAAAGGACTGCTTTTTGTTTTGTCTCTGAAAACTGAACCCTGTCGACACATCAGATATTCTCCAAGAAATCTCGAGGCTGGTCTGTTGTTTGATTCCTGTCTTATTCACAATAAAGTGCAACAGCAGGGTACTGGAAGTGACAATCCCATCCCCATTATGACCTTCAGAGTTAAGTGATGATATATGCTTCTGTGTCAGTTCATTTGTACAAATGTGGGTGTAATAGCTGAATTACTAATAAGGAACCTCACTACCCATAATCCATGAAGAGATCCACCAATCAGAGACGGTACTGTGGAAATGGAAATCCTGCAAGAGCTCAGCAGTGAATAATATACTTTTTAAGAATATACCTAACTGTGAACTGAGTCTAAGGTTTTCAGACACTTAATTACATTATTGCGATTAAATTAAAATGTATTATAGCTTAAATGTACATTAAATGCAATAGCTGAACTTCAGAGTAATTGCCTGATCCACACACACAAAACAAATTGGTTCATCAGTGGTTCTTTGGGGTCGGTGAGGTGCTATATAGCACCACTAAAACCTGTTAAGCCCCTGTATAGTTATTTAAAGGTTCTCTAGCTCTCGCTTAGTCTCTTAGTTTAGTTGGGGAAAGGATTAAACAATGACATTAAAACACAGTGTGTCCCCAAGGCCCCCCCATAAGGAAATATTCCAGGGTTTGTGATTCAAAACAACTTTTGCCATTGTAGTAAATTCCCATTCACAGCAAACATATGAGAGTGGAGTAACATATCTAAAATCTAAGAAGGAGAATGGGGTTCCTCTTATGGTTCTAAATTTTTATAGCAGCTTTAAAGACAGGTGCTCTAAAGTGGTTCCCTATGATTACGAGCCAATGAACCACTTTTAGTGCTATTTAGCACCATTTTTTTTAGAGTGCACTTAAGTAAGACTTAAGTACATCTTTATATGACATTTCATTATTACTTCTATTGTCTTTGAAATAAGCATAAATCTGTAATGATGAAATTGCAATTTAGTACAAATATATTAGCATGTAATATTGTATAACACACTACAGTTAAAATCATAATCAAGTACTTCACATGTGCTTTACTATGTTACTCAACACATCAAAATAAGTGCACTTATTTAAAGCACGACACAAGATTATTAAAACATAAAATGTACTTTAAAGGAAAACTTTTCATTTGACATTATTACGAAGTGCACTTAAAAAGTGTACTTGAGTGTGATAAGAAAAAATCACGAAATTACTTACCAGACTTATTTCATTAACATACAGTGGGTACGGAAAGTATTCAGACCCCCTTAAATTTTTCACTCTTTGTTATATTGCAGCCATTTGCTAAAATCATTTAAGTTAATTTTTTTTCCTCATTAATGTACACACAGCACCCCATATTGACAGAAAAACACAGAATTGTTGACATTTTTAAACACTTCTTTTCAGAAGGGTAAAACTAAATAGTTTGGAATAAACTTGTAATAAAATACCATCATTTTTTATTCAGTTGCATAAGTCACAATGCTGCAGGAGATCAGTAGTTCATTACTTCAGATTTAAATCAGACGTTATAATGTTGCAAATAACTTTTTACTGAGGAATTTTTTTAAATCTCTGTGGAGAAAACTGTTGGATAAATAAGTCCGGAATAAGGCCCACCAACAAAATGAGCCAGCCACTGTTGCACTTTATAGACTTTGAATGTGATTCATTTGTTACAGTATAGATGTGGGATATTTCTCAGAATGTGGTGTTGTTGTTGGTTTTTTTGCAGGGTTGTTTTATTGACGTTCATAAGAAGACATGAGGAAGTGCAGCCCATGGATGTTTCTGCCTGTGATGTTTTCTTTCTTCACAGCTGCTGGTCTCTGGGTTGTGTGAGTATCCGACGCCTGCTTTGCCCAAGTCCACTTCAATGATTCAAGCTGCTGTTAAGATAAATATTTAATAATTTAATTATAAACAGGTATTTCATTGCTGTGGAGGATGAGAAAATCACCCCACTCAGTTCAGAGTACAAGTAAGGAAATTTCCCTCTATTGCAAGCCAATTATTTAATATAAGTAATCAATATTTATGCCTCCTTCAAATTGATTTTGCTTACATAGGAGGTCAGAATCAAAATCTCCTCCATATATCAGGTAAATCTGATATTTGAATGTAATTATGAATTGCATGATTCGTTTAGAGGCCTGATAAATGTTCTTAGCGCTTTCTATTCTGTTTAGCATCGCAGGCAACGCTCCACCTGCCAGCTGTGTGTTCAGTCAAGTCATGAACATGGCAGCCTTTGTAGGTATGAATGGTGCTCAGATCCTATCAGAGGACTTGGTCTTCTTATAAATAGAAAGAGCTAAGAGCTAATGACTAATATAATCATTTTTTCATATGGACTGAAATTGTAGCCTAATGCAATTGTTGCACTGTCCACCAACATCATATGAACATCTGTTTAGTTCTTAAAGGAATGGTTCATCAAAAAAAGAAAATGTGCTGAAAATTTCCTCAGTCTATCCGAGATGTAGATGAGTTTGTTTCTTCATCAGATTTGGAGAAATGTAGCATTGCATCAGTGTCTCAGCAATGGATGCTCTGCAGTGAATGGGTGCCGTCAGAATGAGAGTCCAAACAGCTGATAAAAACATCA